CCGGGTGTTTTTAAGAGCCAACTCAAGACCTGGCTCTTTAGGCAGGCCTTCCCTCCTGTCAGTACTTAATTTATTGTTATCCTTATGGTTTAAATGGTATTGTTTATTTTATTTTATTTTTCTTGTATATTGTTAGCCGCCCAGAATAGACTTCGGTCTAGATGGGCTGGATATATATTAAATATAAATAAATAAATAAATCTTGTTTAATGAATCACACTTTGAGTAAATCTGCCTTCTAAAATATTTTATTTCAGATTTTAGGTATACAATGCTTAGTCTAGTTATAAAACCCAGTTAGAGTATCCCCACTTGGCCAGTATCTTCCTCAATCAAACTACTTGTACAGGAGATTGTAGCATCACCAGTTTGACATTATGCTACTTATGTAAAGAGGTATTCAGTACTTCCTTGTGTATGCATGTCAGACTTTGTCAGTGGGAAGTATAACTTGTGAAATGGCAATCCCACTTTGGGGCTGCTTGCTGTTCGGCAAACTCTCCAGAGGATCCTAGGCCAAGTAGGACTTACAGCAGTATAGAATTAGCAAGTCCCATTCATTCAAGCAAGCTGACTCCATTTGGAACCAGCAATTGGTTTTAGCCTGAGTTCTTCTGTTCAAGATGTATCTCTTAAACAGTCAATGAAGATTCAAAGTAAATGTTGTTTCCTGAAAATTTCCTGTTCCTTCTTTTTTACTACACAGCATATGGCAGTGTCATTAGGTAGTGGCACACATATGATAGTCTTTTCTCCTTTTTCTTTCTAGGGTATGTGAGTCATGATGCTCCTCTCGGATCATGTGAAAACAAGTATTGTGGTTTGGGGAGGCACTGTGTTGTTAACAGAGGAACAGGACAAGCAGAGTGTGTCTGCATGGAACATTGTAAACCTCACTACAAACCTGTGTGTGGCTCTGATGGTGAATACTATGAAAACCACTGCGAAGTGCACCGAGCAGCCTGTCTGAAAAAACAAAAGATCACCATTGTTCACAATGAAGACTGCTTCTTCAAAGGTAAGTGTGTTTGGGCAATACTTTGAAAAGTCTGCAACGTATTTTTGAAGTTAATTCAATTAAAGTGGTGGGAAAAGCTGTGCAGTTTATTGTGAAGAAACGATGAGGAAACCTAACTTGACAAACCTCTCCTTCTCTACAAAAGTCTCTTAGCGGTTTTTCTCAGGTTTATTCAGAAAAGCCTTGAATGTAGATGAAGTGTTGTTGCAGACTTATTGTAATAAAAAAAATCTTGTATCCTCAACATGAAGAGGTAACAATGGGTCCGCGCAGTACAGCTTCTAAATTTTCAACTTGTGTAGGGTCACTGTCAGACAAAAGTCGAATATTACAATTTCACTGAGTAATAATTGCCTACTCTCCTGTTGATCTTGATTTTTAAAATTATTTTAAAACATTGTTACTCAGCTTCTCTCTTCTGTTGTACTGACTGTATCTGCTGTTTTGGTTCTGCTTTTGTATTTAGTTAGTCCTCTGTATGCTACAGTTTTAAAATGATTTAATCCTCAATCCCTTGTCTTGAGGTGTCTTGGGAACAGTAGTTTATGGGTTTTGCATTTGAGGTTTGCAGCAGAAAATTCTAAGATTCCTAAGCTGGAATCACAAGAGATAATGTAGGCACAGAATAATATAGTGGTATGGCTGAGATAATGGAGAACATTCACGGTAGGGTTACAAAACAAAACAGTTCAAATACTGGGGGACATTTGCAGTAGGGTTGCAAACCAAAGTTGGCATGGTCACTATGGCATTATCAGAACAGCATTCTGTTTGAGTTTTATGGTGACTCTGTAGAGCAGTGGGAAAGGTGGGAAAAAATGAAAGAATCTTTCCTTCTAGTCCTGTGTGAAAGTGGCCACTTGTGAATGTTGTCCTATACCTGCTTGTGAGCAAACCCCAAGGCACCTCTGATTTTGTTGCATTACAAATAAATATACTTGTGGCCTCCCTCACTATGCAGTTATTTTGTAAAATATATTGTCTGATAATTCTCAATGGTGAGTATGTCATATCTGACAACTCGGTCTGCAATCTTCTTGCCCTTACCTGCCACATGAATGGTTACTGGGTAAAAGTGCTTTGCTATGTATTATTCCCTTATTTCCACTGCTAACAGGAGTTTTGGACAATTAGCTTGTTGCTCATTTAGTACACTGTGGTTTATTGTCTCTGGATGCTTCCACTACCCTGTACAATATAAGTATCTTGAAAGCTCTCAGAGCCTAAAATATAATAAATAACTTTCTATATGCACCTCTGTCTCAATTCTGGACCAAACATTGTCTGGTAACTGTGTTGGGATGATGATGTTACACTTGTCCTTCTTTCTTTTATCTTTTTAATATCTTTGTCTTCCTCTGCTCAGTCTTCTTAGAACCTCTCCTTTAGCTCCCACTATACAGGGGATGTAACTATTTGCTTATTTCATCCTCACAGGCAAGAACAAAAATGTTTCAGACATTTTTTTTCATACTGAGAGAGATTAGAAGAGTGTTTGTGTATTTTTATTAATTTAATTTAATTATCTATTTGGCACAGCTGAGTACAAAATTCAGAGAACTGTCTTTTTGTGTGTAAAAACTACACGTTGCACAGAAAATCTTTGGAAAAACAGTTGATGTTGTAAAAAGTTCTGGTCTTTTTGCTTTCATGAAATATCTTGCAGCAAGTGTGCCTTTTCCTTTTTTTTTTTTTAAACAGGCAGTCTCAATGTGTTGAGACTTCTGTTTTCATCAAGGACAAATATTTGCAAATATCTTGTTCCCTCTTACTCTGTTGTAAGGGACAAGGGACAAAAAGAACTCAATGTACAAAAAGAACTGAACTCCATACAAAGCACCAGGAGTCTGCGCTACCAAACTGCACTACCCAGTTATAAGATACAGTAATTCATTTCTGCTCAGTCAAATGCATATGGAATTTTTACTTACATTTTACAATCTGTCTTTGAAAATCCAGTGCTCTATGCCTTTTTTCTAGCAATTTAATCGTCACCCACCCTAAGTCAGGAAGTAGTGTGTGCCTTAACTGATCTGATCCATCTTAACACATTCTACTTTGTTGAGGAGGTGTAAATGTAGCTAATGATCCTGCACTTCAACTCCATTTTAAGCCAGTGCAGGTTTTAGTACATACCCCAGGCAAGTCTCACCAGCTACATATTTTAATGTGACCTTCTTGTGTTTCTTCATGATAAACATGGAGGAGCCGTTCATCTAATGAAAGCTCAATGTAGGTCTTTATGTTCCATATCAGACACTCTGAAAAAGAGAAAAAAGGAGAGAATTTGTTCATTGATTCATTTTTGCTATTTCTTTCCAAGAGGACGCAAAGTGGCTTCTAATATTAAAACAGGCAATATCAAAAGATAAAAAAAGTTACAACAAATCATTACAACCTAAAAATGTAAGCTGATATCCTATTAAAGTAGAGGACGCTTTGGCGACTCCAAAATGCAGCAGTCAGATTGCCGATTGGGGCTGGATACGGGGGTCACATAATCCCTCTGTAACAGCAGCTCCACTGGCTGCCAATTCATTTTTGGGCACAATTCAAAGTGCTGGTTTTAATCTGTAAAGCCCTAAATGGCTTGAGTCTCAAAATACTTTGTCTCCCATTAGGAGCCTGCTTGGGTGTTGAAATAATCAGGAGAGGCTTTTCTCTCAGTCCCACCACCTTTATAGGTGGGCTTGGTGGAACACTGAAGAGGGCCTTCTCTATTACTGTTCCCAGACTTTGGAACTCATTCCCACAGAAGGCCACACTGGTCCCATATTTACTGTCCTTCCACAAGTAGGCAACAATCTTTCTCTTCAGGCAAGCTTTCTCCCATTTACTGGCTGCCTGAGGTTTTTTTTTAAAAAAATAGATTTCTATGTTTTACTGCTTTGATTGTGTTTTCAGTTTTACTTTAGTTTACCATTTCTCAGAGAGTGGTATTTGTTTGATTCTTTTAAATATTTGTATACTCATTCTTTTTACCTTTAACTATCCACTTTTAATGACTCAAGCTGCCTTTAAAGAGAAAGGTGGGGAAAATATTTTAAATAATTAAAATAGTACGGGGTAAAAATATTTTAAATAATTAAAATAGTATATAAAGATGGGCTTGAATGGGTTTAAAAGCATATTTTAAAAAATACATAAAGCCCAGTTTTTAAAGCCCTCTGATAGGTAGACACTTATTGAAAAACCTACTTTTTGGGTGGTTCCAGTGGCCATTTTGGGTGTTCTGGTGGCCATTTTGGGTGTTCCTGCTGCCATTGTGGGTGTTCCGGCCACCACCGAACAGCTGTTCCCCCTCGCTATGCGAAGAAACATCGATATGCAATCGCATTAGCGATAGCAAAATCCGCATCGGTATGCGGATTCATCGTTAAACGGTGCGCTCGTTATGCAAGGCACCACTGTATTTGTTTGATTCTTTTAAATATTTGTATACTCATTCTTTTTACCTTTAACTATCCACTTTTAATGACTCAAGCTGCCTTTAAAGAGAAAGATGGGGTAAAAATATTTTAAATAATTAAAATAGTATATAAAGATGGGCTTGAATGGGTTTAAAAGCATATTTTAAAAAATACATAAAGCCCAGTTTTTAAAGCCCTCTGATAGGTAGACACTTATTGAAAAACCTACTAGAAGAGAAAGGTCTTTTCATGCTAGTGAAATGATGGCCAAAAAGGAAACCGTCTAACTAGCCTACCGTAGAATGGAGTTCTGCAATTTCGGAGGTGCAGAACTCCATTCTAAGGTGTCCTTACCAAACACAACTTTGTGGGTAGCAGGACCAAGAAAAAGGCCTCCCCTAATAAGATCTGGAGTGGCTCATATAGGGAAATATGATTTTTCAGATAACGTGGATCCAAGTTGTTTAGGACATTGAAGGTTAAAACCAGCGCTTTGAAATTGGGGCTGGAAATTAGTGGAGTTGTTGCAACAGGGGAGCTATATGTTCCTTGTAATCAGTCCCAATTAACGTTTTGGCTACAGCTGAAGTTTCTGAACACTTTCCAAAGGCAACCCCATGTAGAGTGCATTGCAGACTTTGCAGTAATGCAAACAGGTTGTAACTAAGGCATGTGGCCATATCAGACATCTCACCAGATAGGCTTAGCAGTTGCACTAGTTTTAACCGTGCAAATGCACTCCTGGACATCACTGATACCTTTGTATCTGGGCTCACAGTTCAATGCAGGAGTACGCTCAAGCTGCAACACCGTTTTCCCCCCAAGCAGGATGGTTTGATGTACAGAATAAGCAATTCACACTAGATATGAAGCTGTACTTATATTGAGTTTATTTCTAGCAAGCTTATCTTCTATGAAGAACTCAAAATTATGAGGACAATTCCAATTCTATTAGTACATCATAGAAGCCTTTTAAATTTGAAGGTTACAAGATGCTTTATAAATAGTATGAAAGAGCCTTTTCTCGTGGAAATAAAATCCAAACTATATTTTCAATGTGAATGCATGGCAAATACAGCCATTTTATTTTACTTCATCAGCTTGGTTCTTCTATGTAATAGTGATGCAGTGAGTGGAGTACTAGATCTTGTCGGTACTGTAATGTAATTCTAGATCTGCTGCATTGTTTTTACCCCTTTTGTTTTTGCAGAAGCAGAAATTGTAGAAGCAGAAACATTTTGTTGTAATTCAGTATAAAAATCTAAACAGTCAGTTCACTGTGGAGCTGCCACAGCATAGGTAAGGAGAAGTGTGTGCTGGTAGAATGACTTTTCAGGAATGGAGAATAATGATTGAAAGGGTAACAGTTTGTCTGGCATTGCCGCATGAACTTGAAGGACTTTCTGATATGTATCACCACGAACCTAGACCAGCTCTGCCATTAACCAAATTTCAAAATCCCTGTGTAGCCATTAAGAGGAGTGAATTTGCCACTCCCTACACCCATGAGAGCCATTGCTCCAGGAGCTGCCATTGCATTACTGAACTCTCCAGGCTGAGCTGTTTTCTAACTGCTGGACCCTGAAGACC